ACGACACATCCATGCGAGGAGTTTGCTGTCCAGGATCAAGTATGTTACATTTTCTTGAAAAAACTTAAAGAAGCAGATGCATAAGATCTGTCATCATACTGCTGGTGCTCGTTCACAAATCTTAAATTCAGAAACTTTTTGAAGAGATATACCGAAGTGCATTCGGGTTCTTTGAATGTTGGAAACCCTCATCAACTGAGGGAACAGTTCCTGCTTGATCAAAATTCGATTGCCGTTGGACTACCGCAAAGCTTATTCGCTGCTTATTAAACAGTAATAGTGAGATTGCTCTGCAGCATCGCCTTCATCCTGAAAGCGGCGGCATCCACTCCAGGCATACGCCAAAAACTATTCATGCCATTTTTTCGCAGTCGCGCTCCGGTTTCGAACATTGATATAATACACCTACTAATTGAATGCACATGATGACTACCTATGCAGGGCTATCCTGAAAAGCATGGTCACGCGACTCCCCTGTTAATATGCAGCCATAAATACATTTTAGAAAGGAAAGGAGCGAATGACTATTTGGTGAGTTGCCCGCACGGAGATGCGTTTTCGAGTTCAGCGGACGGATGGCCGATGAAGTGTTCTCGTACCAGGACCGATTGTCCTTCAACGCATTACTGCTTCGCTGCATCTGATCGCCGTGTTGGAGTGTGCTGCGTTTCCAAACGTTCGTCTCATCGCATTTTTGCATTTTTTTTTTTTTTTTTTTTGAATTTTTCTTGCAGCCAGTAGTTTATATATACATATATATGTATATGAATCTTTCTTTCAGAATATGTTTGTCACCTACCAATGGATGCTGGACCTTGTTCTATGGATCACAAGAGATACTATTATGAATTTTCGAACAAAACCTGCAATTCATTCAGTTATGGCGGATGCTCAGGGAATTCGAACAATTTCCTCAATAAAAGAGATTGCGAAAAGTTTTGCTTGGGTGCAGAAGTAAATTCACAAGACTTTTTTGCTGGTGCTGTTGAAATGCCAGAAACGTATCAGTTGGGATTTTCGCTCACTGGACCGTTGCTCCGTGAAAAACATCAACACGAAATAAACGAGTTTGTCGTTTTGCGCTACATTTCTGTAACTTAATACCATTACTATTCGGAAGTTCTGTAGGGGTCTGGTGTTAGATGCGTTACTACACAGCGACGCATAGGCAAATAAGAGCCGTAGCGAATATGCGCCACATAGTTGGCCGGTTACTTGAAAGGTAAAACAGCCGAACTAATGATCTGAAAGGCGGGTACTGTTACCATATTTAACTTTTACAATTGAACGAACGCATTTTTGACCTTCAATGAAAGTGCCTTAGCCAGCCCTGTAGGGCGTTCATTGAGAATATCTGAAACAGCCCAGATTCCTAGCATATCTTTATCTACAAGTCGAAAGATTGTTGAGGATCTAAATGTTCCTGCGACGTTTGTGCAGTTTTTTGAGTTTGTAAGGGACGGCCGCCGTGAATTC